TCCACAATCAGTATGTTTCTCGTCACTTAAACTTAACAATTTTTATAATACATCCTATAAATCACAGCGATTCACAATCTCGATAACTTTGCTTTCGACAAGTGCAAAACACACACTTTACGGCTCATAAATTACACGGAACTCAAAGTAACTACTGCTCTCTCTCTCTTCATTTATTTATACTGGCTTTCTCTGCCAGGCTTATATACTAATGAAGTAGGCATCTCGAACTTTCCCAATCATTCGAGAAATTCATCACGCATGCCACCAGTGCTAGCAGCGTCATGTGACTTCCGCTGTCATAACAATATACATAAATTACAGTGTTTCAGCACTGACAATGTTTTTAAACTTTAAAACAATGTAAATATTCAAAGAAGGTAATTTATTTATACAATGCCTTAATTTTTCTCCAATAATATACATTGGTGGGATAGTTGAAGAAGTTCAATTTTCTAATCTTCTAAAATATATAACCCAAAAAGAAGTGATAGTTTAAACACTTCAGTGCCAAGATATTTATAACTTACTAATGAAAACATTAAAAAGGAATGAAACACCAAAAGCTGTAATTAATAAAAAAGAAATATTTGAAAATGCAAATATCTCTGTTAAAGATAATAAAATCATATAACTTTTCATGTAAATTCTTTTCACAATATTCTACTACATTTTTGTTTCAAATATACTTTTGAGTTGTTATTAATTGCAAAGCTAAACAATGGACTATCTGTGCTGTGTCCACAGAAGGGAATCAACCCTCATATTTTAGAGTTTTATAAGCCTTAACACATTCTCTGCTATGTGCTCCACTGGTGGGTTGCAACCATCTTTTAGTTATGGACCATGTTACACACTGGTGGGTCACATATTAAGAGTGGCTTCAATGAGCTAATTAAACATAGTATGGTTATCCATATAAATATTAGACACTGGGTTAAGTAAAACAATATGTGTGTTGGCATTAGGGTAGGAATTATTAATACTACTGGTGAACATGTTAAATCTAGTGTTGAGCCAGCAATGGACTTTAAAAAAAAAAGAAAAAGAGAAAAGATGATAGTTGCTATTATTATGTAGAAAAAATAACATTTTTGTTATATAAATGTAATCAAAAAATAAGTATATTCATTAATGAAAAATGTAAAAATATTTTGATATTATTTAAAATTAAATAAAAATACACACTAGAAATATGCTGCTTCTTAAAATTTAAAAATATGCTAACATATTCCAAACTGCAAGAGAGTGATAGCAGCTGAATCCTTATCTAAATTCAACCCAACCCCCAGTCACTTTGTGTAGTTATGTTTCAGACTTCTGATGATTTAAGGTATTTCATGAAAGTTTTCAAAAGATAATACAACTTTGTCACTGTAAGTCACTAAAATATTAATGTTTTATTTGCATCTATCAAACTTTTCCTCTGCTTTTACAATCAATTTTAATAATAATCCAAAAATGTACAAGTTTTTACCACATGAACATTTTCTCTCATCACCAAATTTGTAACATGACACACAGAAACACTTATATAAATTTGGGGGATTCCATGCCTGATCAGCAACCTCTGACAATGGGAACTTAAAAAACAAGCCAAAAATCAAATGACAGATTGGTATTCATATTCTTTCTTGCCATAATATAAAATTTAAGAATGAAGCAAAAATTATACTACCATATACAGCTTATCTGCTTAATAAGCTTTATAAGCTTAATAAGTTTAAATGCTGAATATCTAGTCATGATGTTAGAAAAGCACATAGGTTCAAG